AGAGAGAGAGAGAAAGAGAGAAATAGAAAACCTAAAAGCTGACTTTCGAAAAGGCTGTGAAAAAAAATAAACCTAAAGCAAGATATGAAAAAGCTCAAGTTCTGTCTGTCTCAAAAATAAATAAACGTTAAAAAAATTTTTTTAAATGAATTGTAGTAATGGTTACATGGTTGTATACATTTGTCAAAACTGTATGCATAAAATTGATATATTTTATTATATGTAAATTATTCTGCAATAAAGGTAGTTAACAAATATATGATCTCAGTTGGGGCAAAAAAAATTTCAATAAAATTATATACTTATTCATAATTTTAAAATATTATGACCACTATCACTGCTACTAGTCACATTATACTATAGGAGATTCTAATCAATGTAATAAGACAAAAAAAGGTGTGTAGGAAAAAGACAAAACTCATCATTACTTGCAAATGATACGATTATACTTTAAAAAATATAATTGGAACTAGATAAACCATTAAAACTAGTAAGAGTTCAACAAATAAAAATCATTGGTGTTCTTAAACATCAGCAATATTCAATATTCAATTATAATCCCAAAATCAGTTATTAACTCTTGATTTTGGCTCAGGTCATGATCTCACAGTTCGTGAGTTCAAGCTCGATGTCAGGTTCCATGCACTGAGTGTAGAGCCTGCTTGGGATATTCTCCTCCCTCCCTCCCTGTTTCCTCCTATCCTGTTTCGATATAACAATAAATATCGAAAGACCTTTATGTCATTTGGGTAGAGGATTTCTTAAAGACATTCAAGGAACAAATTATAAGGGGAAAAAACCTGGTAAATCTGATTACATTAAAAATTACTAATAAGGTCGTTTACATATAAAGTTTAAAAGACAAGCCAAAAATTGAGAGCAAGTATTTACAGTGCTTATAACCAAAGGACACAGAATATGTGTACATGTGTGTACAGATCTGTGTCTGTATGTATGACTCTTAGAAGTGAATAAGAAGAGCTCAAACAACTCAACAGAAAAATGGGCAAAGAATATAAACAGAGGCAACTGTAGGGTCAGAAAACATAAGAAAGTATACTCAACCTTTAAATACTACTGCATGCCTGTCAAATTGGCAAGAAAATTTTTAAAGATGTGTATGTGTGTATATATAGATACAGATATACAAATATACAGATAAATATATATATATTTAGAATGCCTGACAGTAACAATTATTGGCAAAATATGGGAAAGCAAGAACATATAAAATGTCAAGAGGGAAAAAGTTGCAGAATGTGATCAGTATGACATAATTTAAATTTACATAAAATTTACATAAAAATTTAAAAACAAATGCCATTTATTATTTATGGTTACATAACCATAAAGTAAAAGCATAAAAACATGGATAGGAAAGATCCACTCGGCTTGAAGATAGTGATTACTTCTAAAGTAAGAGGGAGGCAGAATAAGATGGTGAAGGAGCACGAAGGACATTTCATCTCTATCCATAGCTTTTAGTTTCTAAAAAGGTCAGAAACAAATTTGGCAAAAATGTGAATAGGCCTTAAATACGAGTGGTAGCAACAAAGATGTTCATTATGTCATACTCCATATTTTCTATATTTTTGAAACATTTCAAGAATTTTTTAAAAATCAACTCTGGGGGCACCTGGGTGGCTCAGTCGGTTAGGCGTCCGATTTCGGCTCAGGTCGTGATCTCACGGTTCGTGGGTTCGAGCCCCACGTCGGCCTCTGTGCTGACAGCTAGCTCAGAGCCTGGAGTCTGCCTTCAGATTCTGTGTCTCCCTCTCTCTCTGACCATCCCCTGCTCATGCTGTCTCTATCTCTATCTCAAAAATAAATAAAACATTAAAAAAATTAAAAAAAAATCAACTCTGCCCCTGGGGCACTTGGGTGGCTGAGTCAGTTGAGCATCCGACTTTGGCTCAGGTCATGATCTCACTGTTCATGGGTTCAAGCCCCACATGGGATTCACTGCTGTCAACACAGAGTCTGCTTTAGGTCTTCTCTCTCTCTACATCTCCCCCACTTGCTTGCTCACTCTCTCTCTTTCAAAAATAAATAAATATTTAAAAAAATAAAATAAAGGAGCTCTGTGGCTATATAAATTTTTTAAAAAGTCAACTCTGCCCAATAAATATATATATAACGGAATAGGAAAAAGCAACAGTGAGATAGTAAAACTGTGTAGAAATTCTGGCTAAAGTGATGGTGACCTACATTAGAAGTGATAATAACAGGATGAAGAGAAGTAGATGAATGTGAGATTATATTTCAAACGAATAATTTGTTGGATTAACTGATAGACAAGATATGAGGAATTCAAGAGAGGAAAGAATCAAGGTTGACTTCTAACTAAAGCAATAATGTAGGTCAAGGTGCCACTTACTCAGATAGGGAAAACTGGGAAAAGAACCAGTTAAAGGACATGAAAGAATTCTGTTTTTATGTTCATCTCTTTTTTTTTTTCACTCAAACATAAGCTCTTTGAGAATCTGTCTGCTTTATATCTGTATTTCCCAAAGTTCCTAATCTAACTGCCAGACCAATGTTATACACATTGCCTAAGTACTGCTTTTTGAAAATTAGATAACCTGCTTTAAAAAATGTCAGCTTTCAGGGTCACCTGAGTGGCTCATTTGGTTAAGCCTCTGACTTCAGCTCAGGTCATGATCTCACAGTTCATGAGTCTGAGCCTGCCTTGGGCTCTGTGCTAACAGCTCAGAGCCTGCTTCAGATTCTGTGTCTCCCTCTTTCTCTGCCCCATTCCCTGCTCATGCTTTGTCTCTCTCTTTCAAAAATAAACAAACATTAAAAAAATAGTTAAAAAATTTTTTAATTAGTAACGTCAGCTTTCAGGGAGCCTGGGTGGCTCAGTCTGTTAAGGATCGGACTCTCGATTTTGGCTCAGGTCATGATCTCTTAGTTTGTGAGTTCAAGCCTTACGTCAGGCCCTGCATTGACAGTACAGTCTGCTTGGGATTTTCTCTTTCTCTCTTTCTCTGCCCTTCCCTTGCTCACATACTCTCTCTCTCAAAATAAACAAATAAACTTAAAAAAGAGTCAGCTTTCAAATAAATTTGATATCACTTACTATTCTAACAAAAAGAAAAAACTTTCAAGAAGTTCCCATAAAAGTTTTCCCATGCAGCTTATTCAAACTTTTAGGTTCTATACAAATTTATGCTTTCTATTTTCCCCCTAAGCCATTTTAATTAATTTTACATGATTTTGCCAGTTTGATTATAAGCTACACAGTATTATAAGGTATCCCACTATAAATGATGGGATTTATAATAAGGTTATTACATGGTATCTCTTTACACACTTGTACTTACATATTTTAGTTCTATATTATAGAACCCCTCATCTCTCATGATTCATAATATAACCTCAATAAGTAGGCAGAACAATGCTATAATATTTAGTGACAGAGCAGGAATTAACACTTAAAGGATCAGGCTTCAAATCTAGAATGCACCATAAAGAAACTGAGGTTGAAGAAATCAAGGAACTTGTCCCCAGATACACAGTTAATAAAACTGTAAGTTAATTTTGCTATGCCTAAAGAACTTACGCTATTCTAAGTTTATAAACATTACAAAAATGTAGAATGACAAAATATAAAAATTTATCCAAAACATAGATTCTAATTATTCCTTTGGTTAATTTTGAAGTCAGAATCATATGATATCAAGAATTTTTTCCACTATTACTACATAACTGGAATGGTGGGAATAAACTCATGCAGACCTTCAAAAGATCAGTTAAGTAAATTTGTTTTCCCTCTTAAGATAAAAAGGTTATAAGTTTCTTTAGAGGAAAATTAATTATATCTAAAAAGTAATACTTGGAGGGGGCAGCTGGCTGGCTCAGTCAGTAGAAGATGTGACTTCTGATTTTGGGTTATTAGTTTGAGCCCCATGTTAAATACAGAGTTTACATTTTTTTAAAAAGTAATACTTGGATAATTATGATATCACAAGTATCAATTATTTTTATGTTGTTCAAAACCAAAACAAATATATGTCAAACACTGCATTTCGGCAACTTACCCTTTTTAATGAGCCATGACAATTAAGCATTAGCTCCTAGGTCAACTTTTATTTGTCAAACACAGTGAATGTTGTGATTTTAACAAACTTCAGAGTATCTTTACACTTGTACATCCTTCGTGGTTTATCTCATTGGCTTTGGGAGACTTAGGAGGGGTAGGGGACTTGTTAGAAAGTAGTGCACAATTTGACAAAGATAAAGTAGTCAAAGACATAAGTATAAATAGGCCATTCAAATAAATCAAGGTCTTAAGTGTTTTTTCTAATAGTTCAGAAATGGTACTTCTGAGTGCCAAAGGAAAATACTAAAAGGTCTCTTACGAAAATTTTTTCAAATTTTAAATGTAAGAATAGAGCATTCAAAAATATATATGATCCACATTTTTAGCAATGCAAATTGTTGCTAAATTTACATAAGTTTGTATTGATTTTACTTCTCTGTGTTTTAAAGGATGCATCTAAATGGAAACAGAATTGAGTTTAAAGGTGTATCAAGTGTGTATATATCTCTTCTTGAGTTCAACATTATATTTTTATTGGATTTTATTTTGTAAATGATGAGAAACCAATGATGGTTATCACAGTGGGGAGTGATACTATGAAAGCTTTAACAGTATAGCTTTAGCTATAATACAAAGAATGAATAGTAAAGTAGCAGCTAGAAATGGGAAGGTATTACAATAGAAGTTAGAGATTGAAAAGGTGTTATAATAATCTAGGTCAAAAGAAGAGCTTTATACATTCAGATTCCTGGTACCTACTCCTGGAGATCCTGAGTCAGTATGTTTAGAGCAAGTTCTGTTAACCTTAGCTGAAGAGCTAAACACAGATGACTGGTAGTGAGTTAGAACATCAAAGGGAAGATACCCTTCACGCTGACACCTTTAAAAGAGTATCTGGAACTCATAAAAATTACAAGCGATGCTTCACTTTTACCACAAATGAGCACTGACTCACCTGGATCAGAGTCATACTTTAGGTCCAATGGATGTACAACAGGGTGGTACTGCTTCTAAACACAAAATAAATTAAACAGAATTAATGTAATCACTTAATCCTTCATAAAAACATTTCCTTCAGCTAATATAAGTAAATATACTATTAGTCAGTAGAACCATTCTTTTTAGGGGGCGAGGGGAAGATCCTGAAATCTATACGAGAGGGGAAAAGAAGAAAAGGCCAAATTAAGTCTGAATTATACCTTTTATAGTATTGCCACCTACTGCACACACTAAGAAATAGCACCATTAAAAAAGTTTTAAAAAAAGCAAACAAGCAAATTAAAGGCACAGAGATTGGATTTTGTATTTAAAGTACAAGGTAGTCTCCAAATTATGAATAGATTGTTTTTCAAAAGTTCATTTTAAGGTAAGGTTTAGAACTCAGAACTCATATTTCCACAGAAACTCTGGTTTGAAAAGTGGCCAGGCCACTACCATGTCAGCATACGAAAGCCTCTACGCCCAATGATACACTGAGACTGTAAGAGTAGAAATATGGAAACAGGATCCACCTGCTGGGTTCAGCAGCACATATACTAAAATTGGAGCCATACAAAGAAAATTAGCATGGGCCCTGCACAAGGATGACACAGAACAAGACTCACAATTCAGCAAAAAGAAAAAGGGAAATATTCTGCCTTACTCCTGCCCAAAGCCAGCAGAAGCCAAAAATGTTTTCTAAAAAAGCTGTCTTTAGTATCTTTACCCCATTCATCCATTTTGCATCGGTTTTTAAACTTCCAATTCACCAGGCTGCTAACTTTCTTTCTTTTATGCGATACTGATTACTAGGTTTCTTTCCATGAAAGAAGAGGGTAGTAGTAGGGAGAGAGCAAGTAATTATATTTTGAATGTTTTCCCTGAGGAAACATTAAAAAGCAGTAGGGGGAACGGAGTAGGGTATTTCTTTGAGAACTGATATGGAAGAAAAAAAATGAAAAATTCTGCTTATGTTTTTTTCTCATAGAATAATGACTAAAAGTTTTAGGTAAAGTAACTGCCTTTACTGTCTTAAACAATTCCTGACAAAAAAGCAACAAGAAAATTTATATGTGAAAGTCTGGTAATTTCAGAAACTAATGACAAACAGTATAACATAATCTAAAGCAACACGTGTTTCTCACTCCAGAAGCAATGGCATTCCCAGCAAACTCTTGTCCCATCGTGACTTTTGGAGCAAAACAAATTACACACAATTCATAAAGCAAATTTCGGTGTTATGAACAAGTATTTAAACCTTCATCATTAATTTGACTAAAGGGTCTTCCAAAATATATAAACATACGCACATAATGTGAAAACACAAATGACATGCAGAAAGAAAAGGTTTAAAGATAAATTTATTTTGCCTTCCTGGTCTCAGAATTGTAAAGTCATGGTCAGTCTTTCATCTTCAAATTCTATTTTAAAAAGAGCTGTATTTAAAATCTAGTATGACTTAGAACAGGAAAAAGTCTTCCAAGAGACAAACAACAGTAATTGAGGAAGAAAAGACAAAGAAAACAAAACATCATTTATGTCCACATAGATCTTATACTTTAATTTTTTTATTATAGTAAAATAGACATTATGCAAAATTTACTATCTCAAAGACAAATCATCTTACCAGAATTTCTTGTTTTGCTTTTATGGTTTTGATGACACATTCAAGGATCTTCCTGGGATACTGCTTACGCTTTGTGGCTATGTCTACTATGATTTCATCAAACTGATCTTCAAGTACTTTGATATCAGAATCTATTTTAAGAGGAAAAAATTTCTTAAAATACGTTGCTTATATAGTAATATAATACAAATAAGCTAAATTTAGAAATCACAAAACAATTGAAAAACAAATATGGTAAATTAATGGATGCCCCCACTTTGGTGATTCATTCATTTATTTACTCATTGAAAAATCAATTACTGAGCACCTAGGGGAAGCTTGGCCTAAATCAGAAAAATACACAGATGAATATAACATGATCCCTGCTCTCTAAAGGATAACAGTTCATTGGAAGAAAACAAGTAACTGCAAAACAACGTGATAAATTCAACAGAGGTATAAACAAAATGCTATTCAGACACAGAACAAAGGAACATGAATTCTACCTGGGGAATTTTAGACTGTATACAGAAAGTAAGATTTGAGCTGAGCCTTGGAATCTAAATGTAAATCCTTTAGATTAAAAAAGGGTAGGAAAAAAATTACAGAGAGAAGCATTTTAGGTAGAGGACACTGTATTTGTAAGATCATAGAGTTTTGGGGAAACTGTTCTAAAACTAAAAGTTCTAAATGGTTGCAGGATAAAGCACAAAGAAAGAAGGATGATATAATTATAAAAGAACTAGACTGTAAAGGGCAATTAGTGTCAAAGTTTCTAATATGTTTTGAGTTTATTATGTGCTCACCAAAGCTGTGACAGTAGCAGAGAGTAGAGTTGCTAAATGTGAAACAGACACAACTGGACAAACAGTAGGAAAAGTAAGAGACACAGTGACTTTAGAATTTCTTTGATTTAGCTAGAACTATGTTATCTGTTGCTTTCCTGTTTTAAAATAGTGATTCTCAAACTTCAGCAGAATGAATAATCACATGGAGACCTTGTCAGAAGTGCAGAAATTTTGATTCAGCAAAGGCCTCTGAAACGGAGCCCCAAAATTAGACACCCCAGATGAAATGAACACAGATGGTATGTCAACCTTATTTTGAAAATCATCTTAAAGAATAAGTAGTTAAAAATACTAAAAAGTTAGGCCATTGGCTTAAATGGTCTCACGTCACATGTGTTCTGCTGTGTAATCTATGCTGGAAATATCTCTATTTTATTGAGTAGAAGTTTCGTTAAGAAGTCTGAAATTGTAATATACATATTTTTGGAAACATTTCCAAACATTGCTGATATATATCAGCATATATATACACATTGGGTAAAGAATAATGACGTACACCAAGTATCTCTTATTCATGTGACAAATACTCATTAAGTCCAACTAAATTACTTCTTTTGAGAATATTATGAAAAAATCAGCCACTGCTTACTTTGAATACTCTCTTAAATGGACAGCCCTCCCTAAATATTAATTTATCCATTTAAAAAATTCAATCATTACTCTGAAATAATAATGTAGTATTTCACAGTTGAAAAAAAAGTTTCCCAGCTAAATCTTCTATGTAGGAGAAAAATGGTTTCTCAGCGCCACCTAGTGATAGAGCTACAAAACTGAAATGTATAAACAATTTGACCAGGGAAGATTTTTGTCACCAATTTAACAAGTATTTGCTGGGTACCCACTATGTGCCAAGCTAAGTGTTGGAAATTTAGCGATAAGAAAAACAAATACAGCCCATGCTCTCAAGGAACTTACACTTTAATTCTTAAATATACTTGGTCAAACCTAAAATCAAGTCCTTTCAGGGTAGTTACAGAGGAAAGGAGAAAGTTGATTTCACTCATATATTCATTTTTTTCATTTCATTTCTCCACTCATTTCTAAAATGATCCCTGGGAACAAAATAGACAAAAAAAAAAAAAAAAAAAAACCCTCTGCTTTGTGAAGCTGACTTATTGCTTCTATGTATTAGATCAATACAAATCCTTTTAATTCTACCTGCTGAATGAATATCCCTTGAACCTTTTTCTCTCCTTTCCTACTTAGGGCAAGCCTTCACCATCTTTCACTGTACTATTGCAATAACTTCCCTTCGATGGACCTGCCTTGAATTGCTCTCTTCTCCAATTTATCCCCTACACAGCCAGCAGGTAGCTTTCTAAAACACAAAGCTTTTCATGTAAATTCTACTTTAAAAAATCTCCACCAGTTCCCCATTGCCTACAGGATAAAATGCAAATTCCTTAGCAAACCCTCAGGGCTCTTTGTGATCTGGCCCCAACTTATCTCTCTGGCCACATCTGCCATTAGTTTTCCAGTTCATTTCTGGTATTTTCCAAACATATCACTCCTTTGTGCCTTTGCACATGCTGTTTTCTTTGCTTCAAATGTCCTTCCTCCTTTTTATCTAGCATGCTATCATTTATTATATGCATTTAATTTAATAACAATTCATTCTGTTAGGTCTTCTCCCCCTTCCCAAACAGTATAGTAATTCCTTGTCCGTTTCCTTCTATTAACATTGAGTTCCTAAATGGTAAGGACCATGTATTCTCATCTATGTTCTAGAATTTGGTATAATGCCTGGTGTTATAAGTGCTCATGAAAGATAGTAAAATTGTAGTATTCTTAACTATTTCCCCTCACAGTTATAAAGAGGAAAAGGGACAAAGAATAACCATACTCTACCTAGGCTGCCAATTTATTAGAAAATATATATCTTAATCTATAAATTGATGAACCATATTGCTAAAGGCAGCCTGGAGCAAACAATAAAGCAATTCCAAAGTGACTTCACAGAACAAGAGTCAAATAAAGACACAGTAAAGGCAGGGTAGTTTGAAACTACTCTTAGGTGACTGTGATACACCCCCTCTCCCCTACTAACTGGCAATCACTCTGATAATATCTGTGAATTCTAATGTTTCTGCTTTTACCATTTTAACATATAAACCAGAAAGTGAACTTTGGTGACTCTGAAGAGATAACTATAATAAATCCCAAGGATTAGACATGAAATTTTCTGGGCAAAGTATTATCTTAACGTTGAGAAGAAAAACTATAACCACAGAGATTACCTGATGGGCCTGGAATGAGCTCAAGAGTAAAAATGGACCTAGTGATATCAAGCAGTGATATCAAGTTATGTTGGTCAGACTCTAACATCACTATGGGGAAAGACAAGATACTCTGACCTGCTTGTCAGGGTAGTCCTTCTCCTAGACTGCTGGAAAACTCTGCCCCTCTTCCCACATAGATCTTTCCTTTTCTACTAATTTTTTCCTTCTTACACTGACCATTTCTATTAAAACTTTGATTTTTTCAGATATGTCAACATCATTAGCACAATCAAGTCTTCTTTGAAGAAAATAATCTGTCTTTAAGGAGTTTTCTCCATATATTTAACTCATACTTTACATAGTACTCTTATAATTTAACTTCATACTTCTCAGGGTACTTCACTATCTACTCTAAGGATCACCTGTAAAACTACAACTTGATTTATAAGATATTAATCACAAATTCTCTGGGCCTGTTTCTTTGTCTGAAGATAGTTGTACAGTATTTTCCAGTAAACTACTGACAAGGGTACTTTCAAAGATGAATCAGATTCTTGTTTAGAATGCCCAGACAGCATATATATAGAATCAAAGTACCTACTGTATTGTTTGCTTCAGACTATGGCTTCCATAGTCTTCTAGATTCATTTCCATCCCCCCTCCACCCAGTGAAGGAGATTTTTTAAAAGGGACACTGAAAATGGGGATTAAAAATTAGCATTTGAAATAAAACTAGCTACAAAAATAATTCGGAAATTAACGACACAAGGAAGAAGTTAATACACATACCCAAAAAACTATCTGAAGCTTCCTGCCATGCTTGCCCGTTAATGCTGACATTCTCTTGCACAGCTGATTCAAAAGTCTGAAATAAATGCACAATACTCAAGTCATGAAAAACAACTTTAAATATTGAATTAAAACATTTTTCAAAGTAAGAATTTCAGATATGTAGACAATATCAAGAAAAGTAGACTAGTTTATTAGTATATTGTTTTCAGTTAAGTTAAGATTCCATCAGTCATTGATTCTGTCTACATTTTAACTCTGATTTGGGGTCAGTTGAATCTCAAGGGTACAAGCACTACACATGCTGCTGAATGAGCATCAGTGTTAACAAGAGGGGACAAATGCTTAAAAGATAGTGAAATTAATTTCTTCATAAAGGACTCTATTTTTTAGAGATGTTCACTGAGATATACAGAGATGAAATGATAGGAGATCTGCAGTTTGCTTTAAAATAGCAAGTGTAGGGGTGCCTGGGTGGCTCAGTTGGTTGAGCATCCGACTTCGGCTCAGGTCATAATCTCACAGTAGATGAGTTAGAGAGCCCCATGTCAGGTTCTCTGCTGTCAGCACAGAGCCTGCTTTGGATCCTCCATCTCCCTCTTTCTCTGCCCCTCCCCCACTTGCACGCATGTCTCTAAAAATAAATACACATTTAAAAATAAATAAATCAAAATGAAATAAGGTAGGAAGTGTGGGGGCGGCTGGGTGGTTCAGTAGGTTGACTCTTGATTTCTGCTCAGGTCATGATTTTGCAGTTTGTGAGTTTTGAACCCCTCATCAGGCTCCACGTGGACGGACAGTGCAGAGCCTGCTTGGGATTCTCTCTCTGCCCCTTCTGATATCTCTCTCTCAAAATAAATAAGTAAACTTAGAAAAAAAAATTTTAATGACAAAAAACAAAATAAAATAGTAAGTATAATGGGGCACCTGGCTGGCTTATGTGACTATAGAGCATATGACTCCTGATCTCAGGGATTGAGTTCAAGCCCCACATTGGATGTGGAGTCTACTTAAAAAATAAATAAATAAAACAGGAAGCGTAACAAAATTTTGGTAACTGTTAAATTTGGTGATGGATATACAAGTGTCCACTGTATTCATCTATTTTTTTATAAAGTTAAAAATGTGTATATTAAAAAATAAAGAATTAATGGAATTTGGTAGTACCGTTAAATTGTTAAATGGACATTCCCTATTAATTACCCAACAATTTCACTTCTAGCAAAGTAGCCTAAAGAACTATTCCCATAAAAACATAAAAAATGCATTAGAAATGTTTATTAAAGCACTATTTGAAATTATGAAACATTGAGGGGAAAATAAAATCTAAATCACAATTTGGAAAATGGTCAAATATACTATATCCATATCAAGCAACACTTAAGAAGAATGAAGTATATTACTAAACAACATTGTCAAATAACAAAGACATATTTGATAGAAAAAAAAGCTAAACTGCTACATTAGCATGACACTATTAAAGTAAAAAACAGAAAAGTAAAACAACAAAGAGAGAGAGAGAGATGTAAAGTCATAAAAAAAGGATATAGATGGGAATGCCTGGGTGGCTCAGTGAGTGAAGCATCTGCCTCCTGATTTTGGCTCAGAGGTCATGATCCCACCCAAAGGGCTCTGTGCCCAAACTGTGGAGCCTGCTTCAGATTCTCTCTCCCTGTCTCAAAAATAAACAAATGTTACCCAAAAACAGTGGGGTGGAGGAGGGTATAGAAAGATTACATGCTCCAGGCCCTCCATAATACTAAGTTACTTCCAAGGAAGAGGGATGGGGGAAAGGAATTCAGACTTTTGTTTTACGCTGTTTTTTACAATGAGAATGTATTTTACTCATTTTGTATGAGTTAAAAATCAACATAAATCAAATAATAACTGATAATTATGGGTTAAAGTAAATACTCTACACTTTAAAGATTTTATAAAATAAAATCCTTTATACATGGCCATTCAAAAATTATCTCAGAATACAAACTGTCATATTCATTGCAAAATCATATCAATGCAAATTTTTTAAAGTTTACTTGAGAGAGAGACAGTGCAAGCGAGCAAGGGACAGAGAGAGGGAGAGGAATCCCAAGCAGGTTCTGCACTGTCAGCACAGAGCCCGACAGGGTTGGAACTTACTAGCAATCCTGAGGGAAGCAGAAATCAGGTCACAAACTTGACTGACAGCTACCCAGGTGACCCAATCCAACTTTTTTTTTTTTTAGAATATCCATTACTATATTATGTGGATAGATATGTCAGCATAATTAAAGCCTCTGCCTTTTATCTACTCTTAATCTAAAACACAAGTGAATTCCTTGGTAGTTTAAGTCTTCAAATCTTTATCTTCTAATTCACTTAAATATCCATTAAATAAGGTACAGTAGGTTAAGCCAAGCTCCGTTTTTTCTGTAAGGTAAATGTTCTAAGTATGTTAGCACTTCCTAGAAAGGGGCAAATTCTAAGATTATTATGCAATGAAACAGTCTTTTCCCCAAAACTGCTAAAAATGTCCTAAGGTATGTCTCCATTCTTCCCTTGCTTGCAAGAAGGTAGCAGCAAAATTACTCTACACAAAACTGGAATACAGAATCACTACCCAGGGATTGTTCCTTCCTTTTTCCATTTAACCTTTATATTTGTTTGCACTGTGGTCATTCACAAAGTGTGAATTTTTTTCCTATAGATAAATTGTGTGCTTCCTTAAGACAGGTACCAGTCCCTCAATCTGTTGGGTCTTTTCTTAAACAGATAGATTGATGGATAGATAGATAGACAGACACAGATAAATACATAGATAGATAGATAGCTCCCTTCTTCAGGGTAGTGCAAAATATGAGAAGGGAAGGGGAATGATATGAGGGCCAGTAAAGTTTATAATCAAGACCGCTTTCTTATCTACTTTAGACTTTTAGGGAAGAGGTTTTCGCGGGCTTTCCATGAAATTTTAAAACAGGCAAAAGAAAGACCAAACGCTCGTTTGGTGACTGACTGACTTCCAGGATTACCCTTTCCAGGAGAATTCCTCCTGGAGTCTATGTCTGCACTGTCCAACAGGGAACCACTTGCCACTTGGTTACTGAAGCCTTAACATGTGGCTACTAAAGAGACGAGCTTTACATTTAAGACACCAGATTTGAAACGTTTAGTACTAACAAAAGAGTATGGAACGTCTCGTTCACTTTTTGCTATTACAAGCTAAAACGGTATCTTAGGTACAAATGGAGCGTGCTAAATAAAACATATCATTAAAGTTAATTTCACCTCTTTTTTTTTCCCTTTAATTTCAAGTTACAGACATAGCTCGCCTTGTATTTTTCTACTGGACAGCGCCGGTCTAAGCGATTAATGCTACCTGGCTGACACTAGCATCTACTTCGTCCCCTCGCGTTTCTCGGGCCGCTTCTACGCGAGCGGGCGGCACTTTGCGAAGCCCGGCGTAGGCTCCTTCTGGGCCCTGAGACGCGTGTGGGTTAAGAGGGTGTTAAGACAAGAGATGGCTACTGGGCCCGTACCCACTGCACATCTCGCAGCGCAGGCTCCCGAATCTCCTCTGGCAGCGCTTCCCCGAGCTTTTCCACAAAGCGGCCGCACAGTTCTAGCATTTCCGTCACGGCCCGCTTCGAGGTGCAGCGCACCCGGAAGTCCTCTCGAGAAGTGGCGGCGACCGACGCCCGGTCGTCCGCCCCGACCACTGTCTCCACGTCGCTCGGAGGAGAAGGGACCACCAACAGAGGAGCGCCCGCCATCTTCCCTGTTTGAACAGCGGGCGGGAACTCTAGGAGCGGAAGGGCGGGTTCTCACTGGGGGAAGCAGCACGCGTCCGGGCGGAAACTTAAGTCGCCGCGGCTCAGAGTTCCGGGCTGTGCTCCGCGGACTAGTGGAGCGCTGCGCTGGCTGCGGCTATGAGGCCGGTGGGCTTAGGGTTGGTGGACTGTCACTGCCATCTGTCGGCCCCGGACTTTGACAGCGTATGTAAGGGCGTGGCCCTGCCCGTGGGAGCGGGGAGGCTCGCCGTCCTTTCCCTTCAGGTTAACTTTGCTCTCCTCCTTTAGGACCAAGCCTCCAATCCTCCCAGGCCCGTTTATGGCCCGAAGTGAATTGCCCCCGACTCCGTATTTAATCTGTCGTCTTGATTTTCCTTTCTGATCCCGAATTGCGTTAAGCCCTCTGCCTCCACGTGACTTTTATTTGCTCTCCTCGTTTGCTGGACTGCTTCCCTTCCTCCCCTTGGTCCGGCCATTTAGCCCACTCGCCCTGCAGCTCCTGGTGGAGCCCCCAGTTTTCCCAGGAAAAGTGAGCTCGCGGCACTTTCCCGCGCACTGAGTGTTCCAGTTCTAATGGGGGAGAGACCAAACAAAACAACAGAACACACAGAATCAGAGTTGCAAAGTTTTATCTGCTCCATTGGGAACCAGAGGCTGATGATAGAGAAGGAAGAGCGAGGTCTCCTAGGGGAAAACCTCTCAAGAGGGGGCACTTAGGTTGGAATTGCAAAGACAAAGAGTCGGCCAAGCAAGGTGGTGGGTACAGTGGTGTAGAAAGCAAGCAGGTTGCAGGCCCCAGACAGGATAGAATTTGGCACATTCAGGCTACAAAAAGGCTAGGCGGAGCCCGATGAGCTAGAAAGAGAGGTGTTGAAACAAGACTGGTGAGGTAGGTCAGTAAGGACAGTGTGGATCCAGTAAAGATTTTTTATTTTGTTTTTTTTTTTAAGGGAGAGTGACAAGATCTGATTTCCATTTTAAAAACCATTTTGCTAATGTGTGGCAAATAGCACGATTGGAAGCTAGAAAATCCTAGCTTTTGGAGACTTTTACTGTCTGCAGACAGGAGATGATGGCGGTTACCAGGGGGGTTGAGAGAAGCAGATGGATTCAGTGTGTGTTTTAGAGATAGAATCTATGGTACATGCTAAGGAATTGGAGGTGGAGAGGGAGAGAAAGAGAGGACATGAGGATGCATGCTGTAGGGAGGATGGTGGTGTTGTTTACTGGGAGGAGGGGAGACTGAGGCTGGGAGGGCAGATGCATAGAATGGGTTTGTAGAGCAGAAAAAGCTATGTTTGGCACATGTTGAAGCCTAATATCCTTCCAAGTGGAAATGTCACATAGTCATTTTTAAATGTCAGTCTTGGGTTCAGGAGAGAATTGGCTGGAGATCAAAACTAGGGACTTGTTAGCATAATGATGATATTAAAACCGTGGAAGAGATCACCTGACGTATAGAGAGAGGAAGATAGGGTCCTGAAATCTGGCAGAGAAGAGAGAGCCAGGTAAGGAGACTGAAAGTAGCAGCTAGTGGAGAGTGGTGTTTGCAGAAGGAGAGTTGTATAGCAGAAGACAAGAGTGGGAAATACTTCGGGAAAGAAGGAGTGAACAAGTGAGTTCTTAATGCTGCTGAGAGTAGAGTAAGAGGGGGACAGAGAAGTGTTCTTTATATTTGACAATAACAGTTTCTGTTTTAGTAGAGTGGGAACAGAAGCCAGATTTTGGGGAGAGACAGGAAGAGTAAACAGAAGGTGCGTCATCGTTTCACATTTTGTCACACTGTTCCTTGCCTTTTTGTCATTCTTTATGGTGCATCAACTACATTGATGAATACAGCCACAGAGCAGTTACTTATTCATCAAAAATAATTGTGATTACTCACGCTTGTTTTAGGATCTGGATGATGTTTTGGAGAAAGCCAAGAAAGTAAGTCAATATCTATCATTGCCTTTTGTTTTCCTATTAATTTCATGCTAGAACAGCTTGAAATTCAGATATACTCTGCTTATGTATGTTGCTTTGTTAACAATAAGTAACATTAATTGTTTATTATATGCCAGGCCCTGAGCTAAGCCCTTTCTTACATTAGCTCACTTAATATTATGTTTCACAACATCCTTAGGAAGAAGCTACTATTTTATAGCCAACCATTACCTATTTGTTGAATGAGAAAATTCAGACCTAGAGATTAACCTGTCCAAAGACAAACTGCTAGTAACGTGATACAGATAAGATAGTCTGGATCCAAAACATGTCCCTACAGCCACAGTGCTTACCAGTTATATGGAACATACTGGTCCGTCTGTCAGTTCTGAAATTAACTCCAGAGATCTTGGAGAAATTACAAAAGTTGGGGCCTGGGTGGTTCAGTCGGTTAAGAGTCTGACTTCGGCTCAGGTCATGATCTCGCAGTCTGTGAGTTCGAGCCCTGAATCGGGCTCTGTGCTGTCAGCTCAGAGCCTGGAGCCTGCTTTAGATTCTGTGTCTCCCTCTCTCTGCCCCTCCCCCAGTCATGCTCTGTCTCTCTGTCTCAAAAGTTTTCTGAGACATTTTTAATTTGTTTCAGAAAAAAATTACTAATTTTTGGAAATGTTTATGAAATTCATTGTAACTACCACTTTGTAGTCTTCCCTGAAATGACAGCCAGAAATGGTTGCCAATACATTTTACATAACCGTGATCATTCACTATGGAGCTTACTTGGAAGTTTGGAATTACATAGGCCTAATGATCTTTAGCAAGTTATTTGACTCCATCCAAAAGTCTCTCCTGATCTATATAGTGGATTACAGTAGTGCCTACCTCATAGGGTTGTGTAGATTAAATGAGGTGATATTTATATTCACTGAACATAGGGCCTGAAACATAGTAAGTGCCCATTGATAACCATCCTGATTATACTGATGGTGTGTGAGTCAGTAGGAATAACTGAAAGTACAAAAGACTTTAAATTCATCTTCAGTTATATTAAATGTACATTGTTTGAGTTTCTAACTATTCATTTTTGTTTCAGGCCAATGTTACAGCTCTTGTGGTGGTTGCTGAACATTCAGGAGAATTTGAAAAGATTATGCAGCTTTCAGAAAGGTGCTACTTCTCATTAAGGATTTAAAAAGTTGCTAATAAGGATGTAGTTATGATGTGTTTATAATATCAAAGATTATCCATTTTGAAGGAGAATGAGAAGAAAAAAGTCACACCAATGTAGCTCCAAAAATTTCTTTCATACTTGTTCTTTAGAGTAACATTGTTTACTAGTTTAATATTCCTGCTCTCTTCATGTGTTCTACATTTTTAGGTATAAGGGGTTTGTCCTGCCATGTTTGGGTGTTCATCCTGTTCAGGGAGTTTCACCAGAAGACCAAAGAAGTGTCACATTAAAGGTAACAGTCATATAAAGCAAGAACCATAAGAAAATCATACCCTTTGTCTTTGTAATCCTCCTCTTTCTGATCTATATTTTAAGGCAATAATACAGAAGAAGGAAATACTACCTTTCACATAGGTGTTTGTTGCAGCATTATTTGTAATAGAGAAAAAATGGAAACAGCCTAGAGGCACAGAGTAAAAATTAATTAATTTGTAGAGTGTTAAATATCCATACATACGTATGGAATACGTGCATGGAAAATGAAAAGTGTAACATTGGTTTTATGTAGCAATGAGGAAAATATTTAACAGTATAGTATAGGGAGAAAAGCAGGATACAAAAGGGTTTATTCACTGGGAGTAACCTCCAAGGAAAAATATATTCTATAAGGAAAAGACTGGAGAGAAAAACACAGAAATGATATTAGCTGTGATGTTTGGGTAGAATTATAAGTGACTTGTTTTCACATTTTTTATCATGTTGTCATGTTGCTTTGGCAAAAAAGTGATAAAATATCCAGAAAAAGAAAGATGCAAATTCATCGATGTAGTATTGTAAGGGAACAAATGAGTCAGGTATACAGTGTCTTCTTGATCATTAAACCATCTCTGTAGGAATGCTCTGATCTATTAAGCTGCATTTATACCCTTTGTGAAAAAAAAAAAACCCTACCTACAAGATTTCACTGACTCACAATAGCCAATATGTCTCATATTTCAGACTTGTCTTCTGACTCAGCATCAGGGTGATACACAGGTTCTTAAATGGTTTATTACATAATAGAATTGATAGCTCCCCATTTTGAAGAAGTAAAGACTTTTTGTTACCTGTGAATAAATGAGGCTACAAGGTCTTTGATTTTTTTATAATAATGAATCTGTATTCTTACATTCGGATACCCCAGGTAACTCTATTTATTTTGACACAAAATTACTTTTAATTCACTTAAGGTAAAAACAAATACTTGTCCTATAGCTTTCTTGAGTTTTTCTCCTGAAATGATAAAATTAGCTAAATTGCCAGACAGCTAAATTGCCGAAAAATTGGGGATTATAGCAAGACAGCATTTCTTTCATTGATCTTGAGATTTATATTAGTAGGCATTCATTTAGTTAGTCAACAAGTGTTTACTGAGCACCTACTGCATTCCAAGCCCTCCTCCAAGCAGCATAGAGTGAAATCCCTCTCATAGAGGCTAGATTCTAGATAGGGGCAGACAGACCATCAACGATTAGATACACAAACGGGAAAACTTTAGGTAGCACCTAGTGCTTTAAAGACAATAAAACAAGATTATATGATAGGGATTGTGGATACCGGTTTTTAGATTGTAGTCAAGGAAGTCCTCTCTGATGTGGTGATGTGAGAAATGCAACCTGAATGCTACAAAGGAATTGGCCCTGCAGAGAGAGGAGTCTGAGTGTTGTAGGCAAGGGAAACAACCAAGCACGAATGTCCTAAGGTAGGAACAAGCTTGATGTGGTCAAGAAATAAAGAGCTGATATGACTGCAGGCAAGGGGAAGTAACAGTGGTGAGGACAGAGGGACTGGGCAGGGATCACCTCGTAAGGGCCTTGTTGGATTTCATCAGTTCAATGGGGGATTTAAGACAGGAGCA